GTGTGCACCAGCTCTTTCCCACATCTTGGAGGCAGCCAAATGATCAGGACGCTAATTAGAAATATGAATTAATGAGAAGCAGGAAGGGGAAAGGGCAGAGAGATGAGACTGATGCGCACACAGGGGACTGAAGGAGCTGTCAGCATGATAATCCACAGGAACTGTGATGGAAAACATCAAAAACACGGATCACACAATCACAGGACAATCTCCTGTTGGGCTGCTGCACTGAGGAGGGCCATGTTTTCATAATTCTTTCATATTTTGTTTTGGATTATACAAAAAAATCTTAGGGCTTTGATAGAACATGATTTACATAGCCACGGTTTACTTTCCATATAGACTCAGGCTGCATTTCTGCTAGTAATGGTGCTGGTAGCTATTGACTTTTATAGTATTTTTTTTCATACTATGGACATCAATGGCTACCAGCAACTGTTTGGTTACCAACATTCTTCAAAATATCTTCTTTTGTGTTCAGCAGAAGAAAGAAACTCATACAGGTTTGAAATAACTTGAGGGTAAGTACATGACGACAGAATTTTCATCTTTTGGTACCTTTTAAGTACATTTTTCAAGTATTCAGAGCTTGAATGCATTAGCGAATTTTAGTATTGATTATTGTAAAGGACCAGCATGCAGGTCATGATTGTCAGTTATTTGTGAACTAAATCTGCTTGTATTTGAATATATTTACAGTAAGTTTAATATTTTGAAAGTGCATATAAGTTTTGATAATATATTAGAAAGTTTGCTTATTTGCAGATTCATAGGTGAATTCAGGTTGATTTTCCCCCCAGTCATTTCCATGCCAAAAAAGTGTCCCAGTTTACTTGATTTGTGTACTTCAAACATGTTAAACTAGAGTAGAAAGATAAGGACATATAGGAAAGTGCACACATAGAAGTGAAAAACAATTCAATAATTAGTTTTTAGAGTGAAAATTCAGTATTATGAAAATGCAAATGGCTGCTTTTAGAACAAAACATGTTAATAATTGGGCTAAAAAAAAAAAACATTTGGGGTTTTGGGACTGATGAAATGTAGCAAGAAGCCTTCTGATGCATGATGTCTCCAAGCTCTATTTTCTGAGCTCCCCGCAAGTGTGGCATGTTTTGTGAACCATGTGTGAGTGTAGCATTTTATCAGGCTCCATGTATGATTTAGGGGTTAAGGATCTTCATCCTTGCTTATTTTTCAAAATATCGTGCGTTTCTGTACAAATGGTACAAATTCATACGAAATCACCACCTCGTAAAACTCGTGTTTTCTCATAAGATAGGGTTGCAGAGGATGATAATGGTGATCCGTCACTACAAACATACAGCTAAACAGGTCAAATAGAAGAGGAAAGTGAAGGAAATGAGGGAGGGAGATTTAATCTCAGATGCTGACTTCATTGTACAAAGCCCGAGGCACCGCTGAACATCATTCATCAGAGAGAGAAAAACACAGATGCCTGGGGCCCGAGAGGAGATCAGGGAAATGGACATTTCACATAATTATAATTAAAGGGGCCAGAAGAAGATCTGTAAAGTTGCAAAGACTAAAGTCTCAAATCCAAAGAGATATTCTTTATAAAAGTTAAGAGTCAGCCACGCCTACCTAAAACGGTTCGTTCTAACACGCCCCCACATGTCTACATCACTATGTGGGAAGATTTGCATAATGCCGCCCAAATGTTCACGCAAAGAAAGAAGACCTAACTTTATTCTCGCTGTAGTTTTGTTGTTCCCGCCGCCATGTCGTAAAGATGCTGTGTGCTTCGTTGTGAATAGAGGAGAAACAATAATGTACAGTATGTGGAAAATAATGTGTTTTTTTAATCTTAAACCGCATAAACACATTTCATTACACCAAATACACCAAATAATGTTATTTTTAGCAACATCATATGACCCCTTTAAGAGATCTTCATAACATTGAGGCAGAACGGCCAGATCCAACCACATCTTTAGAATGTGTGCATGTTGCTTCTTTATTAGAAGTTATTGTTCAATATGCAGTATATGGGGTTTATTTTAATCGTTTAATCGTACAGGCTACTCCTAACCCTGGGCAACAGGTGATGGTTACCTTAGCAAACAACACTAATAAAATGAACGATATACTCTTGACTTGCTTATGTATTGTTTCCTTCTTTTAGTTCATATTTATGCTTCTAGATCATAAACTTTGGAAAGCAGAGGAAATTATGGTGGGCAAAATTGCATTATGACCATCATAACAATAGGTTGAAAAAATTTTATGCTGATAGTTTACAGTATGTGTTTGCTTAATGTTGTTAACTACAGACCAGTGTTATTTTACTATCATTAATATACTTTTATAATTATTAATATTTTCATGAATTAGTTTTTTATATTTTCTGTTTAAATGTTAATTTTAGTTTTAGTAACTTTAATGTTTAATATTAATTTTATGTTTTAGTAATTTGTTGTACACTGTAAAAAATAAGGCACAATGTACTAAATTATTATGAAGGAATTTTCTGTTTATTTATTGTTTGTTTGTTTTTGTTTTAGGATTAATGTAAATGTCCATAAAATTACTGGATAATGTCCCAGCAGAAAATTACCAGTGCTTTTTCTTTTTTCATTTTCATTTTTTTTTAATTTGTTTTATTACAGTTTATGTTTGTAATTTATATTAGTTTTGAATTCGTTTTTATTTTTTTTAAATGTTCATTTAATTTTAGTTAAGGTTTTAGTAATTTTGTTCTGTTTTTGTAATTTTTATTTCAGTTTAGTTTTTATATTTTCATTTTTTATGTTAATTTCTGTAAAAATTTGTAATTTTGTTGTAATTTAGTCATTTTTATTTGTTTTACTTCCCCCCTTTTATTTATTTATTTTAAATATGTCTATTTAATTTTTATTATTATTATTTTTAATTTAAGTTTTAATTATTTTAGTAGGATACCACTTTATTAGATGAAGCAAAATTATAAATGTTGCTTTGGCTTCTAACTAAAATGAAGTTTAATTTTTCTATATTTTAATTTATATCAGTCATTTTTTACATATATTTTTAGTTTTAGTTAACCATAATAACAATGCAGACTCAAAGGTTCGCAAATTTAGTCTGTACTATTATCTGAACGCCTTCAGTTTGATGTAAAACAAAAGAAATCTAATCATCAGATGCAGCTTCACCACAGATTTTTGAAACATATGACAGAGCCTTTGGGGATGAAGATATGACTGAACTTCAGTGACCTTACAGTAAAGGAGTAGATGCTCTGTTTGTTTCATCTGGTGTGAAATAGAGCCTGTGTTTCGCTCCCGATTTCACAAATCTGAATGCTTCAACAGAAAACAATCTGCTATTGAGAGATAAAAGGGTTGCTAAGGTAACAGGGAAAAACATCCAACACTGAATTCTCATGCCTGGCAGTTACTGTATGAAGGATACTGTGCCACTCATTGTGATGCTCAAGTGTCAGATTCAAAGACTATAATAAAAAAATACAATGATAAAAATATAGCCCTCTAAGTGGAAATCATTGCAGGCCAAGAAATGTATCTTTTCAAATATATTTGTGGCTTTTACAGCAGTCCATCTCAAATCTTCACTAATAGTCAGGGTTTAATGAAACAGGTTACAGCATCAAACAAACAAAACTGACTTCCAAATCACTCCAAAGTCCTCTGTGAAATGGTATGGTATGCTATGGTAACGAACATAACTTTCACATGCATCTGCACATATAAACCGAGGGTAAACGTAATCGTTCAATTGAACGGTGCACATCCATTTCAGACATAGCCTGAAGAGCGCGGATTTCCAAGAGTATTCTCGTTAACTTATCAGGTAATATCTGTGGTTTGACCCATTTCAATGGTGGCCAAAATTATAATTTAAATTTGACGTGCTCATTGACATTAATGTGTAAGAAACACAGTAAAACGCACACAGTCATTTTTTTTTTTCATAATTCAGTAGGCTACTGTTGGTCACCCTTTATGTTTGTCTGTGTTTTTTAAATATTTAAAGCTGCAGTCCGTAACTTTTTTTGGTTAAAAATGATCCAAAATCAATATTTGAGCAAGTAACCAGCCAGTGTTCGAAACTATAGCCTTACTTTAGCTCGATTCACAACGGTTAGCTTATAATAATGTTTTCTAATTTGAGTGGTACGGGTAGGTTTTTGCGGGAAATTCGAGCATGGCTCTGCATCATTACGTCACGCCTGTAAACATAAAGAAGTTGTCCCAGCTACTAGGCTATCGCATGTGAGGATCCTGCAGGTGGCCGATCGTTTATAGCCTTTTCTCAGAGAATTATGAGATGGAGGAAAGGTTCATGGAGTACTCCTGCCTGTATGATGTGTCATCGAGGGACTACCACGACAGAACAAAGAAAGAAAAATGCTGGTGAACTATAGCGGAAGAGCTTCAGCAATGTTTACACTCTTGTTTTCGGAAGTCAGTCGCTAGTTCCGCCTTCTCGATGACATCACGCATGTCATTAAAGACGGCACGCGATGAATGGTCGGGAAGCAACGTGTAGTCTGACATGTTTCTTGTCCAGACATGACAAGATTTTAGGGGTCAAAATCGTGTAATCTGACACAGTGACTATCGTGACCGACAAAAATATCGCAGGCCTGTTCACACCAAGGATGTGAGTTATACACAATGTGCTTTTTAAACGGTCACAAATTAAGTTCAAATTCAAATGTACTACCAACTCAGACCGATAATTTTTTTGATGATACATTTTTGGGTGAACTATCCCTTTAAGATCGTGAATAAATTATTCGTTTACTGTCCAAAAGCGCATTCTTCACAAAAATAAAAGCAATAAAAGGCCAAAGGAAGCATCTCCAGTATGTTTAGAAGAGAACGCCAGTGAAGAATGCTTATAAGGTTATTCGAATTATCACAGTAGACTTCAACTAGTGTGTGTGTGTGTGTGTGTGTGTGTGTGTGTGTACATCGTTCCTCACGCGCGGGTGTTTAAATAAAGTTTGAGTTATTTGAACAATATGGCGGCGCCCGTGTAGCGGTGTGAATCTGTCATATGAGTGTATCGCGTATTAATGAGACACGAGAATGAAGCTTTGAATGGATATTTAATATCGATCACACTGAACGGATCGCAATACATCTCTATAGGTCCCGTTATTTGTCGTGTAAGTAGAATGTGATCCATGTTCTCTATTCTTCATCTGTAACCATTTGACATCTGATGTCTGTAACGTTATATTTGCACATCCTGTCCTGCTAGAAATACTTGCTTTATTACTGAAACCGATTGATAACGTTGTTAAGCACAATGTGAGGCTACGTTACACATCTAAATGCATTAGACCTGACTGCGGCTCTTCTAACACTCATTATCACATTGAACATTGTGCTGCCTTTGAGATTCACTTTGGAGTCCAAGATCACCATGAGTCTTCATCATTGGAGGATGGGTAACCATAGCAACGGGACACTGCTTATTCTCCCTCACTTCTCTTCCACAAACATGAGACCTTGAGTGTGTGTGAGCTGGTGGGCGGCTGACAGAAACACTTCTGTCCTCTAACATCTCACCCTAATCGAGCCTTGCACCATCTTCCTCAGTAGCCTCATCTGCGTCAGATTTGCTTAAGAAAAGATGCCCAAATATCAGATGAGCACGTTTAAGTGTTAATAACTTGCGTTAGATAATGCTGCATTAATACATTTAAATATATTGTGGGACGAGGGGCAGAAATTAAACTGGCCTTGGGCTACAAATGCCACTGGAAATATAAATATGACCCCATATTTAAATTGTGGGGGTGAAAAAATGCCCTAGTAATGAATTCCTGTTTCGTGAAGACTGGTCAGATATTTAAAAATTACTCTAGAAGAGAATTTATTCTTACAGCTTGTGCATTATTTACGGCTACTTTTTAAAGCAGATTTGATTGGAAACTATTATTTTTATTTTTTTTATAAACAATGTTTTTATTTATTTTTATTTTTTTAATAGTATAAAATGCGCTCATAAAGGTAAAAAAAAAAGAAGCCCCATCTATTATTGCCCCAATGCCCCTTAATAAAAAGTGAATTACTGACCCTGATTCAGACAGGTAACAGGGTTGACAGTTAAGCTTTACTACTAGAAATATATTTCAATGATTCCTCTGTACTAAATCATGACAGGTACGGCAAAAAACATAGGCTAGCATATAAAAGATACAATGATTTAAAACAAAATGCCTTTGAACAATTCAATTTTAAAACAATGCTGATGTCATTGTATTTTATTTTTTTATTATTAGTGGAATGTTTAATTTAAAAAGGGAACAATATGATAGTAATTTTAGGATTGACAGATAACCTGATTTACATTTTTAAGGCGAAACATTAAGTGTCATTTTCAACAACTGGCAAATTTAGAGATTTTTGGCTGTAACTTGTCTTCTTTCAGACTAGTGGACAGAAAAATCCACTTTTAATGCTTTATTTTATAACACTTTATGTATTTTCGTCTGTATATTTAAATTACAATCCATATCTTAAAAGGCCTTTTTCTCAAAATGAGATTTTTCATAAATCTCCATTTCAGCAGCACTTACATACACCAAACTTTATAGTTTTATTAAATCTATACGCCGAGCGTTTATAAAGATGGGTTTGTTCATGTATCATTCAGCCGATGGCTGATTTATATAATATCCAAAACAATAAATAAACAAATAAACAAGAATTGAAATAAGAATTTTGACCCTTCATCCAATGATTTTTTCAGAAATTATTTTAGTGCATATTTAATTATTAGTGCATATTTAATTAGACAATGCCTAATTTGCATATTTAATCATAACATCTCAGAAAACTTGTAATACAGAGCAGGTGTCTTAATGAACTGTGATTAATCAGCTGGGGATGTATGGTGAGATTTTTTACTCTATTCATGTAGTGTCTTGCCTTAAAATATAAAAAGAGAATAAAGAAAAGCAAACAAAATATATTAAAAAAGTATATAAAACCTACGGAATAATATATAAGATACAAGAATAAAATTACTGAATTTTTAAATTGGATTGTTGAAGCCATTTTTTTTTTTCAAACATTTATATGAGGGACCCAAATGACACTGATTTATTAGAATGACCTAGAATGAATTATAATGAACTAATGAAATGCTTTTTCATGGGAAAAAAAGGAAAGTAACTCTTCTTTTTCTTTATTTTTTTGAAACATTTTGCAAAGCCTCCAACATGCTTTGTACTGGTAAATTATTTTTATGTTTAATGTGACCAATTTAGAGGTTTTTGTAGGTGTTAAAACACTTGTTTCCAAGGGGACAGGTTTATTTCCACCTTACACTATCTCACTTTGCCATAGTTACGGCGCAAATCTGTTTGTTTCCGTAACAGAACAGACATCTGAACACAATACACCATATCTACCCTATCAGTTTAAAGGAAAACTTTACTATTTTTGAAAATAGGCTAATTTTCCAACTCCCCTAGAGTTAAACAGTTGAGTTTTACCGTTTTCGAATCCATTCAGCCGATCTCCGGGTCTGGCGGTAGCACTTTTAGCTTAGCTTAGCATAGATCATTGAATCCGTTAGCCTATTTTCAGGCGCTGCGCAATATCATTTTCAAAAATAGTGGAGTGTTCCTTTAAAGGGGTCATATGATGCAAAAAGCATCATATGACCCCTTTAAATGAAGGGGCATTCATCTTCATCCATGCTGTTATTGTTCTCTTTTTGACTGTGTGTATGCTCCCCCAGAGTCATGCTGCTCGCTGTGTGCTCGCGGAGGCCACTGCTCGATGCCCATCTGATCAGGCTCAGCGTCCGCGGGCTGTTCAGTGAATCGGGGGTTTGGGAGCGCGACTATAAGGTGGAGACGCGGCGTCGGGTGGAGCAGTGGTGGCACGGCCGCATACAGGAACAGTGGCAGAGAGATGCAGCAGATCAGGTAACTCACTTCATGAAGAACCACGTGACTGGTGATGCACAGCAGATGATTCTAATGTGGAAAGATGCTCAAAACGCATCAGCTCACTGTCAATAGACAATGTTAACCAGGTTTTTTTTATTTTTATCTAATCATCATGTAGTTCTAAACTTGTATGACATTCTCTCTTCTTAACACGAAAGGTGAAGATGCAATATTTACATACAATCTTACTCCTGAAATCATGGTTCAGTTTTTGTTGACAGCATTTTCTGATTCATGGAGTAATAACTAAAATCTCCTCTGTAAAAACCTTTGATAATGGCTTCGTCCATTGTTCGGATTTGTGGAAATGTTTGCAAATTGGTGCATATTTAATGAATGCCTCATTTGCATATTTTAAAATAATATTTCAGAAAACATGTCACTGAGAAAACACGTTGGATGCAATTGATGCAACATCTGTATTGATGGTAAATTTGTTGAATTGAATAAAATTCTTATTTTTTTTGCCATTTACAGTAAGACTAGCTAAGTTGCATGTAAAAAAAATTCTGTAGTACTGTATAGTTACGATGCAGTACATAACGATTCAATTATCAGCACCTTCATAATTGAATAAAAACAAAAAAGCAAAAACACATGTGATGCTCATCTTTATTCGTCATTTTGTAGAAGTAGAGTTAATTTTTTAATTTTTTTGTGGAAAAGGTACACCATCATTATGCTCTGACCAAAGTGACTTGGATGCATCTGATGTTGAAATTACAATATCCCGACTCATAAATACAAACTTCCCACGAGTGCATGAAGCATAGTCAACCGTCCCACAACCTAACCACTTCAACATAAACATAAAACACTAACATGTCTTTTCCTTTTACTCACAAGTACATAAAATAACCCTTAATTTCAACATTTAATCTCCCGATTCAGGCCTCTGCAAATAATGCCGGGAACTAAAAATCCACCCATGCAGTTTCAGTGAATGCAATAAAAATGATTCATGAAGTCCTAACACAAATGGATTAAACTCACATATGAGAAGTGGACTGAACACAATGAAATAAAATCTTTAGCAATTTGCTTTAGTTAAGTAAAATAAGATGAACAAGCAGCAAAAATATAGATTTTTTTCAATGTGGGTGACATGGGCCTGTCACATGGACCACTTTTATGAAGCACTTCTAGTGTTTCTTGACAGACGTTATCAGTATGAACTGTCTTTGAATGAACAAGAGCAATGTGGAAATGCATTAAAATTTCTCTTTTTAAAGGCAAGAGGAGGAGGGTGTTTTCTCCCTGCAGCCTGTGCAGTTACAGTATGCCGTGTTTTACTTTGAAGTGTCTCTCCCTTGAGATTTTCATTCAAAGAATCCCTTCCACCTCACTGAGGAAAACCTTTGTATGTGTGAGAAAAGAGACGTCTGGCCTCTGAAGCGTTCATCTTTTACAGAGAAGCTGCTTTTTGTTGGTGTTTGTTGGTTGGCTTTTAAGCCTTGTTGTTGTGTTCTGTAGGAGAGAGTGGTCTGCTATCAGGACGTGTCTCTCCATCGCGTCTCTCACTTCATGTGTTTGCTGGAGCTGCATTTATTAATAGAATCATTCAGAGACTGAAATCTCAGTTGGATCAGATTTTATCCAAACAACCAACCAGCCCAGAGATTAATCAGATTGCAAGCAATTTAATTTAATATCAGTAACATTAGAAAATTTTATTTGAAGCAAAAAGTATTTGAAACGAAAAGACAAAAGTACAAGACTGTGCTTAAATTCATTTACAAGGGAATGGATTGCTTATCAACATTGTGAATGGCGTAATTGAATCAGAAATGGCAAGAAAATATGAAACTGTCGACTGTTGTCATTGATTGTAAGCAGGATCAGAAATAATAAAACAAATTTCATTAAGGGGCAATATTTACCAACTGGATTTTCTTACCTTTCTAGGAGCAGTTTTTATAATTACCTGTGCTGTCTTGTATGTCAAATACTTCAATTTATCCAACATTTCAGTCAATCAGAATACGACAGACTGTCACCAATAAAATTGTATCAACATCAACAAAAATCATCTTTATACTGCAAACGTGGAACAGAAGCTACACAGACTGTTTAATGCTGCTCGAAGCTGGCAAACATGTATTTACACAACAATCGCATAATGTAAATTGCCTATATAAAAAAAACAAAACATGGAATCATTTCAGGGTACTAGGGTTGCAATTAGGGCTGTCAGTTTAACGCATTATCTTAATTAGTGGTCGACCGATATTGGTCTTTTGACTGCCGATGCCGATATCTTGGAAAGCAGGGTGGCCGATATAAAGCCGATATAATTTTATTTATTTTAATTAATATTTAAGAAATTTGAAATAATTTGAAAATGGATTTAAAAATAAATGTGTAAAATTAACATACTTATACTTTAGATGACAATGTATTTTTCACAAATAAATAAATATTTAATAAAAATATAATTGAATCATATTTTTTCAAATAAAGCCAAGGTAACAGTCATTTTACACACAGCACACAGTGGAAATGACATGAATATGGCAGTGGGCAAATGGATAAAGCGCAGCATAATTTGAAATCACGAGTCTAAATTTTGTCGATCACGCATATCCAGTGAAGCTGAACTCTCCTCCTGTCCGCATTCTATTCGCATAGACCGACCGTCACACAGAGAACATGCGATCATGCAGGATACACATACACACTTCACAAGATCTCAACTGGATTCGACTAAGTTTGCAAGGTTTGTGAAATTAAATGTTCATTAATAGACATTCAAAGATTTGTTCAAATGATATAAATGCGTATTTGCTGAATGCTGACGGCAAACGAGAAAGTATTATAATGTTTGCCTTTCTATTACTAATAATATAAAAGCAATCGTTATAATACTTTTTGTATACATAATCGTTATAATACTTTTTTGTATACATTTTAATTCCTTTGTTTAACCGTTCTATCTGATTATTAGACAGACTTCTATCCGTATTAGACAGAACTGTTAACTACGACAGCGAACAAGAGGGAGAATGTGAGCACTGTGTGCTCAGACGCTTCCGTCGCGCCGTCAAAATAAAGTCCCGCCTCGAAAGCATCGGCCAAACCGGAAAAACGTATCGGCTGAAGCCGATATTTGAAAAATGCCAAATATCGGCCGATATATCGGCCTTGGCGATATATCGGTCGACCACTAATCTGAATTAATTAGTTATGAAAAAATAACGCGATTAAAATATTTTAACCAGTTAACGCACTGACCCCGCCCCCAAATCTGTACGTCATCTTACATTTCATACAGTTGACTGTTAACAAATATGATGCAGGGCAACAACTCCATAAATGCAGTTATGTCCCAAAACGCAAGATATTGGGGTAAAAAATGCCCCTGTACAAGTTTTTGTCTCATATTTATATCATATGATAAGCGATATCACACGAGCAGCAAGAGCAATATCAGACGAGTGCTGTTTCTGTCCTGAATATCACGAGTTTAAATGTGATTTTATACAATAGTTCAGTAAATAAGAAGTTAATATTGTTATATTTTAAACACAATATTATGTTTTTGCTCAGTTTTGCAGAGAACATATTACCTTTAAAGCCATAGCAGAATTGTTTCGCGTCTCCGAGCAGCACAGTGTTGTTTAGTTTCTGAATGAATCCGCGTTTTGAACTAATCGTGTGAATCAATGATTCAAAGGCCGAGCCGTTTACTTCATTCCTGAATGAATCAGCCGTTCGAATGAATGACTCATAAAGACATTTACCGCCACCTGCTGGCAGATTTAGTTTCTTATTTAGAGTATCATTTAATTAAAAAAATTAAAATAATAATAATAAAAACATTAAAGGGATAGTTCACCCAAATTTTTTTAATTCTGTCATCATTTACTCAAACCTGAATGACTTACTTTGTTTTGTGGAACATAAAAGAAGGTATTTTGAAGACTGTTGGTAACAAAGCTGTTTTGATTACCAATGACTTTCATTGTATGAACAGCAAGATATTGGGGTAAAAAATGCCCCTGTACAAGTTTTTGTCTCATATTTATATCATATGATAAGCGATATCACACGAGCATTACCAATGACTTTCATTGTATGAACAAAAAATGCTGAGATGTTTCTTAAATTATCTTCTTTTATGTTCCATAGATAGTTAGGCTGTTGTAGCCTAAATGTTTATGTGTAATAAATTTAATGTTGAATCAAATAAAATATTTCTAAAGCTACAATTTGTAATGTCTACTTGATACTTTCTCATTTAACACGAAAATAGCTTTAAATAATCTTTTGTGGCTATTTTCACAGTCAAAATTATTTTGCGATTAATTGCGATTAATTAGATTAATTAATCGAAACATCATGTAATTAATTAGATTAAAAATTTTAATCGACTGACATCCCTAGTTGCAATATTATGAAATTTTTTTTTTTGCCCCCTTTAAATTTTGGAGGCGTTTTTGTTCATATTTGCCCCAAGACCTTGTTAGTTAAAAGTAATATGTAATGTTTATTCCAAAATATACTTCATATATGGGTCAAAGATGAATAAGAATGTCCGTGATAAAGGACAAATGTAGTTTAAAACACTTGACAAGTTATTAGAGTTAGAAATGTATTCTATGTGTTAGTTAAAAACTTTTACTACAATTTCAAGAAAAGTTTCAATGTATTAAAATGTCATGTGGTGTAACCATGAAGTAAAACAAACAAACATATTTTCCTTACACTTTAATCTTAATTGTCTTAATTATTGTTAAAAATGTATTTAAATATATTATTCAAGGTTTTTACAGATATCGTGAATTATTAATTCATAAGTAAATCATACATTTTCCAACCTGAATTAGGCCTTGTCATAAAAAGGTCAATTTCTTTTTAATAAATATTACTTATTATATTGACCTTGACAAAACAAACACACAGCTTTTTGTTTCACAAGACACTAACTGATGGACTGGAGTGGAGTGGATTACTTGTGGATTATTGTGATGTTTTTATCAGCTGTTTGGACTCTCATTCTGACGGCACCCATTCACTGCAGAGCATCCATTGCTGAGCGATGCAATGCAACATTTCTACAAATCTGTCCCCATGAAGAAACAAACATCTTGGATGGAAAATTTTTGCAAGTTTTTAATTTTGGGTGAATTGTTCCTTTAATGTATTTTTTGGTGAAATAATTCCTTTAAAGCGATTTGACGAACACCCTCAAAATCAGATGGGTTTCTGCTGTGGTATGCCTGTGGTGTTGATGGCAGGGCTTCTAAAAATAGTCTGACCCTGAGCCGAGAACATTTAACACCTTTTGCTTTCGTTCCTCAGACATGTGCGCTGCAGTCCTGCTCCATCTGCTTTGTTTTCCATCAGCAGTTCTTCCTATTGTTTTCTCACACTGTTAGTTTTCACATGTTCTCACCACACAAAGGGTTTCTTGTACAGTCACTGTGCTTTTCATAGAAAACAAATATGCTTCTCTTGTGCTCTGAATAGATTTCAGTTGGGTCGATACTCTGAAAACTGACCTCAATTGTTTACGCACCAAATTTATCAGAGTTCCCAGAGACACCCACCTGAAGACTGATTCACAGGATAAAGGGAAAAGCTTCTCGAGAGATGCAGTGGAGATGTATTCTCTCCCAAAATGGGTCTCTGTCTCTTTCAGCTGCTGAATAATTCAGGCCTTTTTGACCTGCACTGATTAATGCTTGCCCAGTGCGGCGCGCTTCTTCAAAGCCGTCATGAATCATTAAAACTGCCGCGGAGAGCGTGACTGAATGTATGAGCCTTAGCGGGTCTCGCAGGTCAGCAGCCTGCGCTTAAACAAGTCATGTGAATGCCTCATATTAGGACTCTGCTGCTACCTGATGATATTGAGTTGTAACCTCAAGTTTCCACTACACTAGACGGGATTGCTTGTATTCGACCAAGACGATCTGGCATGAATATTATTACAGTAACCAACATACCAAAAGTACCATTGCATGTTTTGGACATGTTCTATGAATGGATTATCATGTAAATATATTATTTACATTTACATTTAGTCATTTAGCAGACGCTTTTATCCAAAGCGACTTACAAATGAGGACAATAAAAGCAGTCAAAACTAACAAAAGAGCAACAATATATAAGTGCAAATGACAAGTCTCGGTTAGCCTAACGCAGTACACGTAGCAAGGTGTATATATACAGTATATATATATATATATTATACACACACACATACTATATATTATAGTAGATGAATATAATTATCATGTGCACCATGGTATATATCAAAAATTCCAGTGAATCCATTGTTACCGCCAAAGTTGTTTTTGTCTTTCCTAAATTCGTTTTTTTTTTTTTTTTCGTTTTAATTGATCTGTATTCCATTTTAATGGTTAAAATCAGAAAACATGTTTAATTAATTTAGATAGTGGAACTTATACAATTTAACAACAATTTATTTAAATAAATAAAAAATAGAGCCCTATGAAATCTGTTCTATTTTGTCCCAAATTTGATTTAATTCTGTGTTTTTCATTTTTCTGGATTCTGTTTTAATGGTTTAATTAAAATGCATTAATCAAAAATGATGTCTAATCAATTAAATTCATATATTTTTTTATTTCAAAAACAATTTCATATATATATTTTTAAATTCGTCACAATAAAAGGTTTAATTTCTCAGAAATGTTGTGTTGTCTGTTTTAACTTTTCTGGATTTATGATTTAATACAAAGTTATTATCAAAAACGGTGGTAAACAATTAGCGGCATTAAACATTAACAATTTAATTCATCATTTAAAATGAAATCAAAGGAAAACAACTCCTTTAATTTCTTGGAAAACAAAGTGCTGCATCAAAGAGGCTTACTGTTAAAATTACTTAAAAATAAAATTGTAATCATATTATTTATATCATCATTATTATTATAATCATTAAACTTTGAGAAATACATTCGACTGTACAATACAGCTCAAATAATACACAAGTTTTATCAGAAGAATTTATGTGAGTGCTTTATAAAACTATAAGCATTATGTTTTGTGATAATCAATGTTTTACCAAAAATGCTATTGATAGAGCTTAAAGGGATAGTTCACCCCAAAATGAAAATGTTGCCATCATTTACTCACACTCACAGTCATTCCAAACCTGCACGAGTTTCTCTCTTCTGTTCAACACAAAAGAAGATAGGCCTATTTTAAAAAATGTTGTTTGAGGTTCCATTGACATCCATAGTATTTCTGTCCATGCTATGGAAGTCAATGCGCCCCCAAAACCATTTCAAAATATCTTCTTTTGTGTTCCACAAAAGAAAGAAAGCCCCACCGGTTTGGAACGGCATGGAAAATCTTGCCGAAATTCTTCAAGAAGGAAGAAACACAGAATGACTCGTTTGTTCTTCCATGTTTAGAGCTCCCGGAAGAAGTTCTACGTTCTCTCCATGTTCCCGTACCCATCGGGTCGGCTGCACATGGGCCACGTGAGGGTTTACACCATTAGCGACACCATCAGCCATTTCCAGAGGATGAGGGGCCATCAGGTAATTTTACTCTTAAAACAGTAATATCAGAATGTACTGCTCTCTGTCAGCAGCACACACATAGTATGATGATTTATCCTCTCTCCTGCCTCATTTTTATATTCATCCACCCACACACAGACACACCAAAACACGGTCCCAGAAATGTAAAAGCTGCAGTCAAGGTCTGCTGGAATGACGTGTGTTTTAATTATGAGGTGTCTGAATAATGGAAATGGTGTGAATATGCTCTTAATCAGAGCTCAAAGTTTGTTATGTATGTTGAGAATGTGCTCACACCTTTTGAAAACAGCACTTTCTAAAGCCTGCAGCTCACCGCGCCAAAGGACTGATGTTATGATTGGTGAGAATGTTTCTGAAAAATACCGTCAGTTTATAACAAGGAGATGGAAGGTCATCGTGGACATCATTATCCTGATGGAGTGTGTTTTATACGGGTGGGTGTTGTGACCTCAATTGATACGACCACAGGAGTCGCTTTATGTCTTGGTTACAGTACATACAGTAATATATAGAAGAGGCATGTTGCTGGAAATACAGCATATGATTTAGAACCATGTGGCAATGCTTATTTTAACACAGGCTCATTGGGAAACCATGCCTCTACCTAGATTTTTGTAAAAAGATACCTATACATACAATACACTCCCGTTTCCAGCTGAAATGAACACTAGTGGTAATAAAACACCAACAACTTGTATTCCTTTTCACACAAATTATGATCACGGCGCAAATTATTGGTTAATAAAGACTTATCTTCAACCAGAGTACTATGTTATGATGACCTCGAAACACTTTTGCCATAGTGCTTGATTTGTGAACCTAGTGCTGTCAAACAATTAATCGCACCCAAAATAAGTTTTTGTTTACATAATATATGTGTGTGTACCGTGTATACTTATTATGCATGTATATATTTAAAGGCACAATATGTAAGATTTTTTTATCAAAATATCCAAAATTATGTTGTGCGCTTTAATAGACTGGTGACGACCGCACAGAGTAGCATTATGCTACAGAACTTTCAAATGTATCTAGTATGATAAAACAGCGCTGCTTTTACCCTGCTTCATTCTACTACGTTAATAAATCATTAGCTCATCCATGAACATGATTTCTGCCCGAGTCCTGTCGGATTGCATCAGCTGGGGATGAAGACCACAACTCCCATGATTCCACACTCAGTCACGGCGTCATCAAACTAGGCCTTTGTCTCTTTGTTTATTTTGAATATGCGCCCTCTAGCGGCGAAAATTACATATTGTGCCTTTAAGAAAAATGCGTTTTGTTTATATATAAAATATTAATATGTATATATAATATAAATGATATTTGCATATAAATATATAGATGTAAATATTTTAAAAATATATACATGTATGTTTGTGTATTTATATATATATACAGTACATCATAAATATACACAGTACACACACATATATTTTGTAAACAAAAACTTTTATTTTGGATGCGATTAATGCTTGACAGCACCAGAACTGATACATTTTGAAAATTGCATCAAATATCCAGCTCTATATGTATGGCTTTTCTGATATAGTAAACTTGCTCGGTAGCGCACCCGGTACAGCAGTGCATTTCAAAGCTTAAAGACTTTTATAAGCAAACTAAAATGGCCTGGTTGCTTAAGCTAACTGTTTTTGTTAGCACGGTTAGATTTAGTGTTGGCATTTAATTTTTAAACTGCCGTGATACATATAAAATAATAAAAAATGTTGCCAGATTCACGTTCATCTGTTTTGGATAAAACTAAACATGCTAGACTAGACTAAACTAGACATTTGTGAAAGAAGCGACGTAATACCATTTTATAGAAATGTCACCACAGGCACATATGTACGAACGTGCCGTAAAATAGCTAAATAATGTCAAAATATTAACAGACAAAAAAAAATCACATTTTGATATTTTCTGGGATTGTTTCAATAACAATAATTTAACAATATTTTGCTGAGTGTGTTTTTGTGCTGGTACTTGGCTGGCTTACATTTACATTTAGGTAATTTAGCAGAGACTTTTATCCAAAGTGACTTGAGGACGATAGAAGCTATAAAAAAACCAAAAGAAGATCAACAATATGTAAGTGCTGTGACAAGTCCCGGTTAGTCTAAAGCAGTACATGTAGCAAAGTTTTTTTTTTTTTTTTTTAATAATAAGAATGAAAAGTATATATAGAATAGAGAGTGCTAGTGTTAGAGGGTCACTTTTTTAATAAATAAAAAAAGAAAACAAGTAGATAGAATAGAGAGTGTTATTGTTAGAGGGTAAGAGTGTAGATGGAAGAGGTGTGTCTTTAGCCGTTTCTTGAAAATGCTAAGAATAAAATACTATCTGTCTAATACCAATCAAATGAAATTAGTATCAACAAAATCCATCTTTGCACTGCCGAAGTGGCACTGAAGCTGCATCTGAAGCGGCATTTAGATACATTTACACAGACTGTTTATTGCAGCTCAGAGGTGGAATGAATGCATTTACCCTGCAATTATAGATGCATGAATAATGTTATGAGATTTAAAAAAAAAAAATTTAATTATGAAATTATTTAAAAAGCAATAATTGATACTTTTAAGTGTGAAAATTTAACTGCCAGTAGGTGGCGGCAAGTCCTAATGAGTGAGTCACTTCAAACAATTCATTCAAAAGGCTGATTCATTCAGTCATTGAATCATTCATTAAACTGATTTGTTCAAAACGCAGATTCATTCAGTAACGAAATACCGCTATGTGTTGCTTGCAGACGAAAAACGGTTCTGCTGTGGTTCATCTGGAAATTTTTATGACAGAAAAAAGCAAAAACATACAATATTGACAGTATTTTGTAACTCAAAATGTTGTTTATTTAGCTGTTTTTATAAAATCAGTATGACTTTTGCATAACTTTTGAAATAACAGAACTCGTGTGATATTGCCTGACTATATCGTTTAGTATAAATATAAAATTGGCCCTGTATATCTTGTTTTGTTTGACATACTTGATAATGTCATCTTGCACATTTTTAAAACAATAATTATGATGTTGCTAGATTTGTCTTGGTGGTCATTTGTGGCCCTTTTGTTATATTTCAGGCATTATTGTAGATGATACGTGTCGCACACCCCTGAGTCTGTCCTTTCTTCAGTAGATGTTTTACTCTGTGTTATTGTTTGCTGTTTGTTCTTTCACTCACTCACTCTTTCGGTTTCCCAGTCTCTCTGTCTCTGTCTTTAAGTCTCTCTCTCCCTCATGTCCTTTAAATCATCCCCTCATCCATCTCTGTCCTCTGCGTGACGAATCTCTCTCTGCTCAAAGGCACAGGCAGCATCTGGTGTGTGTTGTAAGCACAGCACTAAGTGTGTGAGGATTTAATGGAGCTCGACGAAGTGCTGCTATTGATTGAATTGGAATTGACCGTGTTCAGTTTCGAAGACTTCTCCGAAAACAAACTGATCGAGTGAGCGACTATAAATCTCACCATGCTAGCTTTGACTTCAACTACAATTTACCCCATGTTTGTTCTTACATGTTTAGAGAACTAGTAAAAGAAAAGGCCTTGCTGCCTCACTGTCTAGTCAGTCGATGTCTTAGCCAATCTTTAGTGACTTCACTGCAGATGTCTCAGTAGAGCTGCGGTCGGAAGTACATTTTATAAATGTATTTCTTTCTGCCTCTCCATCATATGCTATTTTGTTCTAGTGCATTGCACAAATGGATAGCATGTTGATCTACTTTAATCAGGAATGCTGGGATTACGTATATGTACTATTTCTGGTGTCATAATCCACTTTTAGTGTAGATTTGGGCATTTATTTTATTTAATTATTATTGTTTTTTTTATTTAGTTTAGTTTTATTTTTTAGATCACACTGTTTTGCGTGTCATGGCTATATATATTTAGAATTTATTTAATTTTATTGTATTTTATTATATTTTGTTGTGTTTTTTATTTTATTTTATTTTGTTTAGTTTAGTTTTGTTTAGCTTAGATCACAATGTTTTGCATGGCTATATAAGTTTAGAATTTATTTTATTTTATTTTATTGTATTTTATTATATTTTGTTGTGTTTTTTTATTTTATTTTATTATTTTTATTTTGTTTTGTTTTTCGTTTTGTTTCGTTTAGCTTAGATCACAATGTTTTGCGTGTCATGGCTATATAAATCCATAAAAATGTTTTCATAGTTTTGAGATGCAATTTAATATACAATACATTGAATCTAAACTGAAAATGTTTCAATAAAGCTAGATGTTTGTGCCTCCCTCTGTACCGTGGTAAAATCACAGTAATGCACAGTGATGCTCTTGTTATTTTATTTTATTTTATTCTATTTTGTTGTGTTTTTTATTTAATTTTATTATTTTTATTTTGTTTTGTTTTTGTTTTGTTTTGTTTTTTGTTTCATTTCGTTTAGCTTAGATCACAATGTTTTGCGTGTCATGGCTATATAAATCCATACAATTTTTTCATAGTTTTGAGATGCAATTTAATATACAATACATTGAAGCTAAACTGAAAATGTTTAAATAAAGCTAGATGTTTGTGCCTCCCTCTGTACCGTGGTAAAATCACAGTAATGCACAGTAATGCTCTTGTTATTTTATTTTATTTTATTCTATTTTATTCTATTTTGTTGTGTTTTTTATTTAATTTTATTATTTTTATTTTGTTTTGTTTTGTTTTGTTTTGTTTTGTTTTTTGTTTCATTTCGTTTAGCTTAGATCACAATGTTTTGCGTGTCATGGCTATATAAATCCATAAAATTTTTTCATAGTTTTGAGATGCAATTTAATATACAATACATTGAAGCTAAACTGAAAATGTTTAAATAAAGCTAGATGTTTGTGCCTCCCTCTGTACCGTGGTAAAATCACAGTAATGCACAGTAATGCTCTTGCATTTTTTTTTATAAAACAAGAGCAACATGATAGTGATCAAATAATAGTTATATTAATTGTAAAAGGTAATGTAATTCATAATTCATAATTTTCCAGTTGTCAAGT